TAAAGAAGACAACTTCAATGTAAAAAAGGACGGACTTTAAGAGACATGTCAGGATACATCGCTGTATATAGCAGATACGCCCCTTGTGTGCAACCACTGGTGCGATGATACCTTGATTTCTCAAGTGACGAGTCAGGCACCCTCTCACTACTCTGTACCAAGCAACATACACGTGGTTACTTGTACACACATCCATACATTCATCCAAACTTACCTGTGATACAAAATACGTATTAAATTTTGTTTGATTTAATTAATTCGATACAGGATTTTTTTCAATTCATGTTACTTGAATTTTTTAATTAAAAAAATTTATTTCTTCAATCAATATGTTTTCTTTTGTTTTTATGAGGGTAAAAAAATCTTATGATTTAATTAAGAGTAGAAACTTGCAATTATTTGTGATTGCCAAGAATAAAAAATGTTATTGAAGAAATTTAAGTTCAATTATTTTTTTTTTATTTTTAATTTTATCTATATTATTAAGAGAATAAGAAAAAATTTTGTGTCCAGGATAATCATATGATAAAATCGGTTTTTTTGAGTTAAATTTAGTGTCATTGCAAAGGCCTTGACTTGAATTTGTGCCTTTTCAAGGTTTCATATCATTCTCACCGATAGAAAATTTATGATGATAAGTATTTAGGTTGCATTCGAAAATGCTCTATCTCTAGATACACTGATAGAAGGATTTCTTAGCATTTAAGAAGATTTCTTTGTATTGAAGAAATCATTTCTTAAACATCATTTCTTAAGTATTTGAAAAATATTTCTTAGTATTTAACTCTTACCGGCCACACGGGGTAACTAGTTACCCCAGGCTTAAAAAAAGTGTAATTAGAGGTCTTAAAACTTTTAAATAAATACAATAAACGGCATATGCCGTGAATCTGAGATTTAGAATTTTTTTGCAAAAAAGCCATTTTTCCACACAGAAAAAAAGAATTATTTGAACTGAATAAGATTTATTTGAGCCAAAGATATCGTATACTTGGATATGGCCAAATAAATATTTATTTGTGAGAAATATACGATATATTTAAGCTATTTAATTGCGTCAAATAAGTGATTTATTTGTTGTCAAGATATGATTTATTTGTGGTAAATAAATGATAGTTGACGCAAATAATGCATATTTTAAAATATTAAAAATTAATTGTACATATTTTTAGGTTATTATAGCGCTACTATAGAATAAAAAATTTATAATTTATTTTATTAGAACAGAAATACAATTAAAAATTCAAATTACCTTTAGATATAATATGGTTGCCTTCAGCTGTAACATGTACTTTTATTGGACGAAGACAATTATTAGTATTGAAAATTAAAATTTTTTCAGTTGTGTTTTTATCAGGTAATATTACTATGTGTCCTTTTAAATGATCATTTAAACCGTTAGTTAAACAATTAATTAACAATTGTTCCATCGCTTCGATCACTATTATGAATTATTTAAAATTGAAAATTGAGAATTCATACAATAATACGCACTGTTATAAAAAAAAAACAACAAACGTTTTTAATGAACATGGCGGTCACTTGAGAGTCAGTTCGGGTGACGTCCGAAGAATATGCGCGCGCAGTAGTTGAGAATTCAACATTTGACTGGTACCCTCAAAGATGCCGTTGTTTACCATAAACTTAGCATCTTTACCACAAATAAATGATATATTTCTGACAAATAATAAAATAATTCGAGTCAACTGTTATATTTACTTGTACCAAATATATATGGTTGTCACAAAGAAACATTTAAAAAAATGACTCAAATAAATTGATTTATTTGAGACAAATAATTCTTTTTTTCTGTGCAAAATTGTGACTTATGTGACCAGTTGTTAGAACGCCATCTATTAATTAAACAAATTTTAAACCATTAGAAATATTGAAGAACTTGTCAACGAACATGACACAATTAATTAAAAGTCTCAAAACATGTACACATCTTGTCCAACCGGGTTTTTCAGCGTGGGGTAATGAGTTACCCCATGTGGCCGTTATGTGGCCTGGGTGAGGTGTGGCCGGTAAGGGCTAAGAAATATTTCTTAAATACTAAGAAATATTTTTTAAATACTATAAGAAGTGATGTTTAAATTAAGAAATGATTTCTTAAATACAAAGAAATTCTTCTATCAGTGTACATAATTAAGAAATGACCTTGTTTCTTGTGAACTATTGACATTTTTAAAGATATAAGCTCACCCCGACATTACGCTTATCGAGACCTTTCATTTGAGTACCCACATCAATTTTTCATATATTTATATATATTATATATATGTATATATGAAAAATATATAAAAAATGCATGTAGGTACTCAAATGAAAACTTTTGATGAGTGTAACATCGGGGTGAGCTTATATTTTTAAAAACGTCAATATTTAAGAAAGTATAGTGCAATTTAACGAAAGTCATTATTTAATAAAGCAAAATTTTATTTATTTATAGCTTACAAGTCTCGGCAGTCACATAGTGACTGCAAGGTTGCTAGTTATTCATTATTTAAATAGTGTTAAAATAAATTTAATTACTTAAAAAACTTAAAATTATAATAAACTTACGATAGCAAAAAAAATAAATTAATAAAACCGTGAAAGTGCATTCATTTAGGCGAAGACCAAAAATTATTCTTATTAATCATATAGATTATCCAAAAAAAAAAAAAGAAAACACAATTATAATTGCTTTTTTTTTTAATCAAACAAATAACTAATAAATAATCCAAATTAACCATTAATTAGCTGAATAAAAGCGGCCATGAAAAGAAAAGTAAAACATTCTTTATTAAGTGTAGCTTGAATTACATGATTAAGTAAGTGATCTTAATTATATAAATCATATATTATTGCAGAAAATTACACTGGAACAAAGCACAGTAACTAGATTTACAATCAGATCGCGAGAGTAACTACAAAAATATATTTACATACATATAAAGAAATATGCAGTCTAGTGAGTGAGTAAAGATACAGATCGAGCAGTTACTCCACTTACTCCCTCCTCTCCGGCGTGTGTTAAAGTGAAAGCAATCGTGCATAGCAGGAGAAACGAGCCAGGAAACGTGAGTACTCTAAGCGCGGATTCATTGGGTCAGTGAAACGAAAACTAAACTTGTCAGTTTGAATTTATGTATTAAACAATCGATTCTTCTCTTAAATTCTCAATTAATCTACACAATAACTTTCAATTTTTTAAATTCATAATCAACAATTATTTTTAACACTCTACTGTTTTATTTAATTTAATTTCTTTCATTTAAAAAATTAATTAATTAGTTAATTAATTATTGTAACGATTAATGATAAAGATACTTGAATTATCCCTGGTATTGCGGGTTCGCTTGAGGGTACTGAGGTTGGGGCTGAGGATACTGAGGCCCAGGAGCTGTTTGGGGCTGCTGAGGCTGCTGAGGTTGGTACTGGGCCGCGAACGCAGCAGCTTGATTCCCGTAATTCGGCTGCTGCGGGTTTGCGCCGTACTGCACTTGAGGCTGGTACTGATGGGCCGGAAGCTGACCCTGAGCAGTCTGGACTGGCTTGGCGGGTGTCGCAGGTCCCAAATTAGGGATAGGCTGCGGTGGAAGGTGGACCACTGGCTCTCGTGCCTGCTGGAGCTGGAGCAATTGCTTTATGTTTGCTGGCGCTTGAGAAAATGGTCGGTAATTCAATTGCGGCTCTTGGTAATTTTGTGGTTGAGGCTGCGCTTGTGGTTGAGGCTGATGTTGAGCGTTAATTGTCAGTACTGACGCTAAAATCACAGCAATCTGCAGAACAGAGCGAATAGTAATTAGATTACTTTTTTTACTTCGATATAATTTGATGATTTAACGGTTGGGAAGTTAATTTAATTTATCGCAAAAAGTTAGTGCTTAGAAAATTTTAATAAAAAAGAAAATTACTTATTAGTAGATAGAAATAAAAATTGAAAAAACTTACAGAGAACTTCATGGTTGTTAATTAGCAGCGCTTTGATGTTGGTGGATTGGGTTTAAAGGGAGTCCTCTAATCAGAGGACGAGATTCTGAACGAACTGAGACAAAACAGCTTGAGGAGACTTCTATATGGGCGTCGTTTTCCATTACCCTTTACTCAACTTACTAGAATATATCAACCACCACCAACTTTCATGCACGATTGGCAACTAATTTTTATCGCAAACCTCGCGATACATTATATTGTCATTATACAAAATATATAACCTATCACGTAATCCTTCTCGTTTACCTGCTTGGTGACAGCTTACAAGCCAGGAAATGATTGCAAGTTTTATATTTTATTTTTTTCGCTTCCTAAGGTTCATTAAAACGGAAAATATCTACTTCTTATAATAATTATGCATCAAATATCAGTATTTTTTTTTGATAAAAACGTTTTCTTTTTGATCATGTTCATAAAAGTACAGTCGCTAACATTAAAAAATATAAAAACTCTTCGATAAAAAGAAAAGTGGTTTTTTTTTTCAAGTATGTAGACTGATTTTCTGATGCAATATTAAATTTACACGTCAATAAGTAGTCGTAATTTATTTTTACGATCATATTTATCTAGATGTTAATTTCATTAGAGTCATTATCATATTTTTTATTGAAGTTCATTGCCCTGACTTTATACGTTTAAAAAAAAAAAAAAAGAAAAAGAAGTAAAAGTACAATTTGAATTATAAGAAAATAAATTTATTTATTTATACAAAATAATTTTATTTTTCAATAAAAATATAAAATCTTAAAAATAATATTTATTATATAAAATAAATGAAATTGATTAAAGTTTTTCTAGTTATACATATTTAAACTATCACATTGCGTGAATGAACCAGTTCTGCTCACCACAGCTGCAAGAGATTATGTTACATATTTTTAACCGTCGATAATATTAATTCTCCACCAATCGGTGTTGATTAATAATTAGTTATTTAAAATAAATAAAATAAAAATATATTTTTATCGCCGAAGAAAAAAAAAAACAATTTCATAGATCGAAATTCAATTACTCGACACTCAATACTGATTTTCGGTAACAGGACGAACGTTATTTTGTGGTGGCTGGGGGAATTGCGGGTACTGCTCCTGAATTTGCCGATTGAAGGCAGCGGGAAGGGCGTTGGGGTGATATTGCGGCCGAATGAGTTGAGATTGAAGGTTTCGCTGTTGATTGAGTTGATGGTTGACTTGCTGGAACTGGGGCTGCGCTTGTAAGCCGGATTGATAGGCTGGCGACTGAGGTTGAGGTTGCGGCTGCTGGTAGAAAGGATTTGGCTGCTGATACGCTTGAGATTGAGGTTGAGGTTGAGCTATAGGCGATGGTTGATAAACTGGATCTACAGATTGAGGTTGCGGCTGTGGATATTGGGGCTGATACTGGGGCTGAGGTTGCGGAGCCGGTTCTTGGTAAATTGGCTGAGCTTGTTGTTGAGGCTGTGGTTGATGTTGGTAAGGTACAATTGGCGCTGGCGCAACTTGCTGAGGCACATAAGGTTTGTCTAACTTGTAACTTATGCTGTTGGCGATGATATCGTAAGGAACTTGAGATTGGAATTGGAGGAGCTCTTTTATCGAACTCGGGAGGTTTGTTGAGTATTGAGGGGATGCTTCTACTTGTGGTTGAGCTACTCTGCGATACTGAGAAAGATCTACTTCCGATTGAGGTTGTTGAGGCGCTTGATTAGAGTACTGCGGTGCTTGGCGCTTTTGTCTTTGATTGCCAATCACTTTATCGGCGCTGCAAAAGAACAAAACTCGTTAGTAGCTGCTAATTATTAACATCATAAGCTAATAAAAATATCTAGATACCTAAATTGTTCAGGAATAGCACTGGTGTAAGGAGTTTGTGCTAGAAACTTCAATAACTGTTCAATATGAGCTGGGCGATTTGTGCTGTAATGAGGTTGAGGCTCGGCTGCGGGTTGTTGTTGAGCTTGACGCTTTTGACGTTGATGTCCTTGTTGAGTGGCTAGTCTTTCGTATCTGGAATTAGATTTGTTAGAGAAGGTTGATAATAGTTGACGGAAATAAAATTAAATGTAGTACCTCAAATGTTCTGGAATACCGTTGACATAAGGGATCTGGGCTTGGAATTTCAAAAGCTCTTGCAAATGAGCTGGAAGGTTTGATTTGTACTGAGGTTGAGCTTGACGCTTTTGACGTTGATGTCCTTGTTGAGCTGCTAGTCTTTCATACCTACAATTCAAATGATAACTTTAATTTCCAGTGAATAGAAAAGATACTTTGAAATTTTGTACGACTATTCAAATATCAAATTCGATTATAAAATCATTTTTAGACACCTTAAATGTTCTGGAATACCGTTGACATAAGGAATCTGTGCTTGGAATTTCAAAAGCTCTTGTAAATGAGCTGGAAGGTTTGATTTATACTGGGGTTGAGCTTGACGCTTTTGACGTTGATGTCCTTGTTGAGTTGCTAGTCTTTCATACCTACAATTAAATTTCCAATCGATAAATAAAACAATTTGAAATTATGTAGGGCTATTAAAGTATCAAATTCGAGTATAAAATCATTTTAACATACCTTAAATGCTCCGGAATACCGTTAACATAAGGAATCTGTGCTTGAAACTTCAAAAGCTCTTGCAAATGAGCTGGAAGACTTGATTTGTACTGAGGTTGAGTTTGTCGTTTTTGTCTGACACGTTGACTGTGACGTACTGGTTCTGGTTCAGGTTGTCGTTGGAATTTTGGTTGTGGTAATTCCTTCTCCTGAGCTAATAAAGCTTCATACCTGCAATCAAACGGATCAATTATCCAAATGATCAAAGTATTTGCCAACTATCATCAATAAAAATTACCTCCATTGCTCAGGAATGTGATTTACATAAGGAATTTGCTGTTGGAAGTTGAGCAGCTCTTGAATACGAGAAGGAATATTTGCCTGAAGTTTTGGTTGTGGCTCAGCTGGTTGAGCTTGTTGTGCTTGTTGGCGTTGTTGATGGTTCGCTTGCTGGCGACTACGACGAACCTGGTCAGCTTGACGCTTCTGTCTGCTGTATCCTCGAGGTCTTCCACGATATGGACGAGTTCGTTGTTCGACCGGTTGATGAGCTTCTGCTGGTACTTCATTGACAGCTGGTTCTGGTGCTGGAGCTGGACGTGGTGCTGGTGCTGGTGCTGGCGCTGGTTCGGGTTGAGTTTGTTGATGAGGCTGGTACGTCAATGCACTGTTGAAATCATACCTGACAAAAAAAATAAATTTGCAAGCATGAAAATAAATCTAATTAATAACTTTGGAATTTTTTAAATGTTTATCACCTGAATTGTTGAGGAATGATGTTTAAATACGGGATTTGCTGTTGGAATTGTAGAATTTGCATAATTTGTGGTGGCGCTTTGTTAAACACTTTGTAATTCAAATTCTGTTTTTGAACTGGGGCTTCTGGTTGTTGCTGATAAACTTGTTGCTGTTGCTGTTTTTGCTTCCTGCGTCTGGCAACTGGAACTGGAGCTGGCGCGTATTCTTCAGGATTCGCAGCAGGTTGGGCTCGCGGGGTATTGTGGTAGGACCTCCAGTTCACATTAACTCCTGAGTAACACTCTTTGCGTCAGTAAAATATTCTAAAGGATCAATTTAACAACATAATTTTAGATACCGCTATTAGGATCTCTGTACTGCAAAGCACGTTGTCCTCCTTGATTGGCTTCATAAGGACCTTGAACAGAGCTTTGACTATGTCCATCAGTAGCTCCTTGAATCTGGAAATTGGAGTTTCCATCAGTAGCACCCTGAATTTGGAAATTTGCATTTGCATCGGTAGCTCCTTGGATTTGGAAATTAGCGTTCCCGTCTGTAGCTCCTTGAATTTGGAAATTTGCGTTTCCTGCCGAAGGTCCGTAGTACTGAGCCCTACCGTCCGTAGCGCCATGGATTTGGAAATCGGTATTTCCGTCTGAAGCGCCTTGGATATTGAAATTAGTAGTTCCATCACTCGCACCTTGGATTGAAAAATCCCCAGTGCCTAATGAATCTTTTTTAACAAATAATTGTTAATCATTTATTAATAAACTCAATCTTTTCAAGTACAAATTAAATCGAGTTTTTGGCCAGTAACTAGCCAGTTCAACTATAGACTTTAACCAGAAACTAATCAGTTTAATATCGAGTTTCTGTCAAGTAACTGGCCAGTTTCACAAGAAATCTAATAAAACATGGCGACTTTGAAAAAACTGTCAATTTCGAATTGAAAACTTAGAAGTTATCAAAATTTTCAGTCGATCAGAAATATGAAAAGATTTGTTTAAAAAAATTAACAATTAAATCCAACCTAAATCAATGATTGATAAAAAATCAATAAATATTAATTTGTATACCAATATTTACGACTTAGTTGTAGGTGGCACGATTTATAGTTCTTATTCGATATCGCTGGCCAGTTACTGATTTAAATCGAATGAAAACTTGATTAATTCTACTAGGGTTTTAATATATAAAAAAAAAATTGGAATTTAGTTGTGGAGTCTCTAAATTTACCTTTTTGGTCATCATAACTAATTCCCTTTTGATTATCATAGGTTAATCCTTGAGCTTTTCGATTACCATCGCTCGGTCCTGAAATTCTGAACTGAGCTGCACAATATGGCAGTATCACCAGCAGTAATACCTGCAAAGTTAATTAATCAGGTAAAGCAAGTTAATAAATAACCGCGGAGATTTTAATATCATAAGAGAGAGTAAAATGTATTTCTAATAGATAGAAGCAGCAGGTAGCGGAAATGATTCAGGAAATTATAAAATAATAATTAATGTCCTGCGATAAATATTTGTCGTGTTAATTTTTAAAAAATAATTAGACTTATCTAGAGTAAGTAGGCACGCGTTTATATTTATAGAGGCAATAAACTATCTTGTTTTCTCGGGTAAATTAGCATAATACTGCTTCGACAAGTAAAGTGGAAGGGAAAGTTGCTGGTTTACTAACTGCATTTGCTTTTGCTTGTATTATTTGTAAGGACTTTGACTTACATTATGTATTATATATAATATACACGGATACACAGGAATAGCAAATCTACAATAATGATGAGACTAAAGTGCGATTTAACCTTTATGAAATTTAACAAACGACTTGCAATTGCGGTTGATGTCTTTGTTGGTTATTTCACTTTTATGGGGCTTCATCATGTGAAAATTAATGGTTGAGAAACTTTCGATGTTTTTATCGGATGATTGAGTCTAATTCAGTTAAATAAAATTTATATAGGCGTGTCATTACTCCGATATTACGTGAATAGAAAGTGAAGTATAATTTAGAAGTTGCCTTTCCTCGTATATGTTTGTTTGCTACAACTTTTCTGGGCGTGTTATATATGTTCAAGATAAAAAAAGAGACTGTTATTTTATTTTTCTAATTTCTTGTTTCTCAATAAGTAATTTTACAAAGAAATATTTTTAATAATTAGATTGAATAAAAATATAATTGATACTCAATTTTTTTGATAAATGAAAAAATTGTCTGGTAAAATTAAATTAGTAAATAATTTTCAATTAAATTTTCGAAAATTCTTTCAATAGAAATAAATAATAATTATTTTAATTTTCCGGGAAAAATTATTTACTTAAATTAAATAAAATCAAAATTACAAAAAAATAATTTTTAGAGCAAATCAGAACTTAAAATTTTTTGCAAAAAACACAAAACACTTTTTTAACAAAATAAAAAATTAATAATTACTTCACTTTATTTTTTTAAGTACATTTTAAAGAAAAACTAGCAAATGAATGATTTATTTATTAATTAATTGATAAATTTGATTAAATGAATAGTATGTTGTTTGAATTATGGACTAAAAAAATAAAAGACTATCGCGCGATATAAAAACTAAATAATTAAACTAAAAATACAAGTGTAGAAGGTGTTAATTGTATGTAATATATAATATTAAAAATAACTTACGAGCAATCTCGTCATGATGAAAAGGCAATGCCCTGTCATGCTCAAGGGTGGAGTGTGTCTGAGGCGGGCGCGCGGCTCTCGAAACCACTTTATAGGCGAGGGTAATAGGCGAGGGGATGTGACTCGTGAAACCCACCTCCATTCCCTTTTCAACGGCTGCAAGTTACCCAGCTACTGTCTGATAACTCCAAAGATACAATATTCGCGTCTCTTTCTACAAATAATACCACTAATAATTACAATAAATCATAACTTATTATTATTACACTTGTAATTTATTGTTTAACAAGTTGAGTTACGGGTCAGGTTAAAATCTCCGACTGAACAAACTAGTTGGAGGTCTAACGGACTAACCATAACGTTTTTTTATCGCCGCGAGACGTAATTACGAGGTTTTTTTTATTTTTGAACTTTAAGTCAAAAAAAAACTCACTGAATTATAATTATTATTATTGTTGTTATTATTTATAAGGTAAAGTAGGCGAGTAAGTTTCCTATTGTAGAGCGAGCATTTTATATCGTAAGAGTTCACTTTTTAGCGGAAGTTCTAATATGGATTAAAAGATACCTCCGATGCGTGTTCAGGAGATCAACGAACTTGTTATAAGTAATTAATAGCTTCACAGTTTCTTAATTGCTATTTTTTAATACATATTTCGCAAATGTGTAATGGAAAATTTTTGGAAAGCACTTTTACATGTCACACGATTTTTTTCATCGCAAATATCAATTTTCGATTATAAAATCTTATATAACAAATATTATCTAATTTAAAAAAAATCAAAATCTTAAATGATGTGTATTAATTCAAAAATTACATAGATTATTGATGGTATGCAAAAACGAAAGGAACATCCAGCATGCGATAGTTTGAACGAGTCCGTGTAAAGTCAGTGTACCGTGAAGGCCACGAAAGTGGATCACTTTTTAAACGGCAAATAGCCTTCCTGATCGATCTCAATGTTGCTTTGAATATATGCTATATGCTATATCCAGTATGAACTCTGTTAGAATCTTTTTGTCCTGCTGGAGGCGTTCTCATCTCCCATCTCTGCATCACCACTCAATACTCCACTAAATACCGGCGTATACTCAAGAACCAAGAAACGCGAGATGAAGATGATGATGATGATGATGATGATGATGATGATGATGATGATGATGATGATGATGATGATGATGATGATCAAGACTCAAGACTAATATAAGAGGTAATATGCTACCAAGTAGAGTATAAATATATCATCGGGAGCATTTGATGCTGAACAAGTGATCAAGTGATGGGTTACCAGCGAACCAGCGTAGGATACCAAACAACTAAACACAGGTGAACATATGTGTACTTGTAGTAATCCATACGAGGCTTTTATTTCGTCTACATTCTCTAACAACACGATATCGTGTTTTAAGATTTTATTTTTTGTACCTTTACGCACCACTAATTTTTCCTCATTATCCTTTTAAGAACCAACCAAGGACAAAACTCTTTTACTATTTACTGTTTACGGTACTTTCATTGTTATGTCTGCCAAGTACTACTACCACTTACCTGTTCTAGTTCTTCTACTCGCTGTTCTATTGCTGTTTTATGAGCAGCAACTGATTCCACGTTTACAAACCGCTGAATTAAATATTACAGATATAAATTTGGAGTCCCGCAGCGCTGAAAAATAAAAAACAACTTGATCTGAGTCGTAATTTTCCTGTCAATTGAGCTTTACTGCCGAAAAATAAAACAATTTATAAATGAAAATTAATTTAGCAGATATCTGATAATTTTAAGAATTTCTTTAACAAATAAATTATGGCAAAAAAAAATTGTCATGTAGAAATTTTAAAAATAAAAAATGAAATTTTTCAAAAATTATTTTTTGGAACAAATTTATTTGTTAAAAAAAACTAAAAAATAATCAAGTGACTGCTAACTTTACTGTCATAATTTAATGAAAATTAATTTAGCAGATATTTGATAATTTTAAGAATTTTTTTAACAAATAAATTATGGCAAAAAAAAATTGTCATGTAGAAATTTTAAAAATAAAAAATGAAATTTTTCAAAAATTATTTTTTGGAACAAATTTATTTGTTAAAAAAAACTAAAACATAATCATGATGCTAAAGTTAGCCGACATTTTTAATTATTTGATTTTTTTTAATAATTAAATTAAAACAAAAAAATATTTTTAAAAAATTTCACTTACAGTTTTTAAAGTTTTTTACGAGTGAAATTTTTTTTTTTTAATTTTTTTGTGATCATTTCTTCAATAAAAAAAATTCTAAAAATTATTAAATGTCAGCTAACATAATTTTCATAAAATAATCAAATGACTGCTAACTTTAATGTCATAATTTCTAAAAGAGATCGTTCTTTGGTATTAATTTATTTAATTTAAAGATTAAATACCTTATTTGTTTAGAGTTTAGAGGAATTAAGTCTGATCGACGTTTAAAAAAATAAAAAGATTTTGGTCGTAAGCAGACTTAACAACTGCTTCATGATATAGACATAGGAGATACAGATATTGAGGGATATTATTAAAAAAAATTGACATGGAGGAATTTTAAAAAATAAAAAATGCAATTTTTCAAAAATTATTTTTTGGAACAAATTTATTTGTTAAAAAAAACTAAAACATAATCATGATGCTAAAGTTAGCCGACATTTTTAATTATTTGATTTTTTTTAATAATTAAATTAAAACAAAAAAATATTTTTAAAAAATTTCACTTACAGTTTTTAAAGTTTTTTACGAGTGAAATTTTTTTTTTTTAATTTTTTTGTGATCATTTCTTCAATAAAAAAAATTCTAAAAATTATTAAATGTCAGCTAACATAATTTTCATAAAATAATCAAATGACTGCTAACTTTAATGTCATAATTTCTAAAAGAGATCGTTCTTTGGTATTAATTTATTTAATTTAAAGATTAAATACCTTATTTGTTTAGAGTTTAGAGGAATTAAGTCTGATCGACGTTTAAAAAAATAAAAAGATTTTGGTCGTAAGCAGACTTAACAACTGCTTCATGATATAGACATAGGAGATACAGATATTGAGGGATAAAAAGTCACGTGTGGCCCTTTGGGGTCTGCATACGTTGTCCGTTTACTTTTAACTCATCAGAATCCTCCTGATGACATCAACCACTGGCACTGGGATACAACCAAACTCTAGAATCTATTTTATTTCTATCCGTTACGGGGTCGCGCCCCTGCCGTTTTCGGCTTGGCCACTTCTAAACGCCCTATTGTCTGATTCGATTATCGCGACTGTCATTCCGCGAACTTTATACTACTATTCACTGTTATACGTTACGTCAGGGGGTGCGTATGTACTTTGGCTCTGGAAGTAGCTCCGCTCCAGCGCCAGCTCGTTCTTCTGTAGTGGGTTAGGATTAGTATTTCAATTATTTGTACAATGAGAGTGTCAAAGCCTTTTCTCTCCCTTATTTATAAACCTCTGTCTTCTTTCTTGTCATTATTGTCATTTTTATCTGTTCTTTTTATTCCGATCCCAGCTTCGCCATGTAATGGCAGCTCATAATAACGACAGTCTGCAATATCGAGTGCAGTCGCGTGTCCATGTTTACATACGATTCAATTTACAATTACACACACTTACGTTCACTGCCCGGCAACTTGCTTCTCTATGAAAATTTATTTAATAATTTTTTTTAATTAATAAATTGTCAAAAAAAAAAAATTGACATGTAGAAATTTTAAAACATAAAAAATAAACATTAGCAGTCATTTGATAATTTTTTAATTTTATTTAACAAATTTATTCTGAAAAATTATTTTTTAAAAATTGCATTTATAATTTTTTTTTAATTTCTACATGTCAATTTTTGTTTTCATTTCTTTTGCCATAATTTATTTGTTAAAAAAAATTACTTAATATCTATGAAAATTAATTTAACAAATGTTTTATAATTTTCTTAACAAATAAATTATGTCAAAGAAAAAGAGAAAAAAAAATTGACATTTAGAAAATAAAAAATCCAATTTTTTAAAAATAATTTTTCAGAGCAAATTTTTTAATTAAAAAATTATCAAGTGACTGCTAACATTAATATCATTAAATATCTGCTAAATTAATTATCATAAAAATACAATTTTTTAAAAATAATTATTTGGAATAAATTTATTTATTAAAAAAAATTATCAAAACTTTAATGTCATTCTCCGTCTCACTCCCGAACTCGAGTAACGCCAGTCACTTCAAGATGGCGGCACTGACTGTTATTTTTTAACGCTGTCACTTTTTTACCAACTGCGCAGCTCGCCGCGCAACTACGCAGTAAGATGTCGGCTACCGATATTTCAGTCACTTACTGTACCGCTGGTGTGTCAACCGCTCTATTTCGTTTAAAATATTATTATTTTTAATAGAAACTTAATTAAACTTACTTTAATTATAAATGATGTTACTGTTGAGAAAATCACTCAGTGAATTAAAATGATATATTAAATGAAATGTTTCAAAAGTAAAGTTTCTTTTAAATGTGTATCATTATGTAAATTAGTATGTCAAGTTTTGTTTATTTTTTTTTATTACACTTGCACGCGATCTTCCGGGATGAAAATTGCTGGGTATAACCTTGGAGATTAAATTATTGCTGTTTAATAATAATAAGGTTTTTTTTTAAATTATTCTTTATTATTGTTATTTTGAGTAATTGTTGTAAAATTAAGTTATTAATTTTATTTTACAGCTTAACAGGTACCGAATGAAGCTGAAGGATGATACGATAGCAGACATGCAATTTTTATGTTTTTAAGTAAATTTACTAGAGAAAAAAAAATTAAAAATTCATAAATTGGATTTTTTAATTTTCTTTTTTTTTTTTGTATATTTTAAAATACATAAAAAAATTATGATTTTAAAATTAGCCGACATTCAACAATTTTTCATTTTTTTCATCAATTAAATATGAAAATTAATGACATAAAAGTTAGCAGTCACTAGAGAATTTTTTAATTTTTTTTTACAATTAAATTTGTTCAAAAAAATTACTTTTAAAAAATTGCATTTTTTATTTTTTAAAATTTCTACATATGAATTTTTTTTGCTATAATTTATTTATAAAAAAAAGTTCTAAAAAGTATTAAATATCTGCAAAATTTATTTTCATTGAAAATTAAGTTAGCCGACATTTAAAAATTAAAAAAATTTTTTTTTATTGAAAAAATGACTACAAAAAAAATTTTCATTTGTAAAAAATTTAAAAAACTGTAAGTGCAATTTTTTAAAAATATTTTTTTTCTAATTTAATTATTAAAAAAAAATCAAAACATTAAAAATGTCGGCTGCCTTAAGTGTCATAATTAAATTACGAGCAAAAAGAATTTTTTTTCAATTGCAAGTATAATTTTTTTAATTTTCTACATGTGAAATTTTTTATTTCAATTTTTTTGTGATAATTTTTTCAATGAAAAAAATTATTAAAATTTTGAGCTGTCGGCTAATTTAATTTTTATAAAAAAATGTCTGCTATTTCGAGTGTCATGTTGGAGATGAAGATATCTATGCGGATAAAATACAGTGAGTCAATAAAGAACATTTCAATTTATTTATTTATATAAGCCAATAATTAAGCAATTAATAATATTTGCTATCGGATTAAAATTATTGAATCCTTGTGGCAAGGACAATTAATAATAAATTTATCAAGATGAAGTAACGAAGCTTATTGTAATGATAAAAATTTAGCTCAGAGATGATAAAAAGTATCTTAAATTTATTTATATAATGTCGAATGCAAATGTGGATTTTATCGTGAAAGCACAAAGCAATTACTGGAATAAAAGGGTATCGTCCAGCTCGGTATAAGCAGTATGGGCATAAACGGAACCATACGCAGGACCAAGGACGTTCAGTGCCCTCGTCGACCAAAAATACATGTGCATACCTAACGGGCTTTTCGTGTTCTCCCACTTTTATTTTACCATTTATTTTTATTTTATCGCAATGGGTACACGCCTGAATACTTCGTCTTTCATGGCGCCACACGTACTTCTAATTTATTTTCTTTTATGTATTTTCAATGTATTTCATTTTACACGGTGTATTTATTTTTTATTTTTTTTTTTTTATTATTTAATACAAGTGGATTTTATTAATACACATTTATACAAAGATTTTTTAATCGCCTACATCGCTTTGTAGTTGATCAAAACTCTTGACAATCTGTTTGTCAGACGCTGTCAGCCCTCGGGCAGTCTTCAATTTTTTAATGTTTGACTTCTGAAAATATAATCATTTAAATTAAATAATCCATTTTTTTTATATTAATCTTTTTAGGAAGGCAATGGTAAATAATTTTATGTAATCATAATGAATAATTTATTATAAAAAAATTATTTACATAAAGTTGAACTTGAAATCAAAATACTCTAGACTGTTCAAGTACGCTTTGAGTAAAAATAACAACATTTATGTTGATATTAATATTTATTCAGTGAAATAATTAAATTAATATTGAGCTTAAATAATAAAATTTAATAATTTACTTAAAGTGCACTTTGACATTGCGTGACTAAAGTCTTTAGCTTGGTACAGGATAATTTTTCACAGGAATCGATCGTTACTTTTTTATCTCATAAATTATTAAAGATAAAATATTTCGCAATAATTTAGAACTAGAGTAATGAAAATATTCAATATTAATATAATAATAATAATAATAAATAATAACAAGGATATTGACTTGAATTAAATAATAAAACAACATGATTTATTTAATTTATAATTCATAATTCACTCAATAATTGAGTTTGTCAATTTAGTTGTTTAATTAAATGTCATTGCACAAAGGGTTGTTTACGAGTAATTGTATGTCCAAGACAGCACCAAGTTACATAACATGCGTTTATTCTCGAATAACATAGTATGATCCTCTTTTTTTTATTCTTATAATTCGTACAGGATTTATATTTTCGTATAAACGTGTATTTGTGTAAAAAGCTAAAGCCCTGAGCACTTACAGCCGATACAAGAATATCTATAGCCGCGTTCCTTCCCTTTTATTACATTACTTAGGCTCACTGTGATTTTGTTGTGCAATAACTACAATAACAACAAGTAACTCGAGAGTAAAATAAATAATGATAAAAAAATCAAATCCAATCGAATAAATATATAAAGCAATACAAAGTTTAAATGAACATGTGCAATATAATTGTGAATGTATTTAAAGATGCTGAGAAAAAATTCCAGCTATGCGAAATAATTATAATTATTTTTTTTACCAACCTAGTTATTAAATAATTTAAATTCTTCGCTAATATACATACCGGTAGTTGGTTGAGTTTTTGTTTAAAAGAACGAAACTTTACATCTTATAAAATTAAAAAATTATTAACAAGTGTCGAGCGGTGAATTTTACTCGTTAAATGATGGGGAAGGTATGACCAGGTCCTGCGTTAAAGGACAATGATTATCAGAGGGAGGTTTATCGTCTGCGTCATCGTAAGATAATGATACTCGAGTACATTAAATCACAAATAAAAGAATTTCCCTGGAGTACGCCCATGCCTTGAGCCACATGGAGACTGATCAAGGTCCTATCCCCCAACTGGGAATTAATGACTGATATGTTTATGTAAATTAAACTTGCAATAAGGAGTCTCTTGTGTTATCCTTTAATTCATTGATCAAGTTAAATTACACGTCATTTTATTGCTGCGATACTCCGGAGGTAACTACTTTATTCAATTATTTGGATCCTTTATTTGGTGACGAGTGTTTTTTATTTAATCGACGGTATTATCTGCAATCAGAATAAGTGCAGAAATTAAAATAATAGTTCTTTGAAAGCTTTCGAATGGACTGAAATAATAAAAATTATACGTAAGATTAAATATTTTTTTTTTTAATTTGGTAGCAAATGATTTATTATTTTTTATATTCGGTTAATTTATAGACGATGATTTATTTATTTATTAATGAATTCCAAATGCATAACTCGAACTTAGAAACGTTTTTACTTAACGAACTTGAGCCTAAATTTTATTTATATTGAAACTATTCTATGATAATATTACATACTAGCAACTTTGCAGTCACTACTATGTGACTGTCGTGACTTGTAAACTATAAATAAATAAAATTTTGCTTTATTAAATAATTACTTTTGGTAAATTGCACTGTACTTCTTTAACTATTGACGTTTTCAAAGAAATAAGCTCATCCCGATGTTACACTCATCAAGAGCTTTCATTTGAGTACCCACATGCATTTTGATATATTTTTCATATATAAATATATAAAATATATGAAAAATTGATGTGGGTACTCAAATGAAAGGCCTCGATGAGTGTAATGTTGGGATGAGCTTATATCGTTAAAAATGTCGATAGTTGACAAGATACAAGGTCATTTCTTAATTATTTTTGTTAAATTGCACTGTACTTTTTTAACTATTGACGTTTTTAAAGAAATAAGCTCATCCTGATGTTACACTCATCAAAAGCTTCCATTTGAGTACCCACATGCATTTTGATAAATTTTTCACAAATATAAATATATGAAATATATGAAAAATTGATGTGGCTACTCAAATAAAAGGTCTTGACGAGTGTAATATCGGGATGAGCTTATGTTTTTAAAAATGTCGACAGTTCACAAGATACGAGGTCATTTCTGAATTATGTATCTAGAGATAGAGAATTTTCGAATGCAGCCTAAATACTTGTCATCATATATTCTACTATTGGTGAGAATGATATAAAACGTTGAAAAGGCACAACTCCAGGTCAAGACTTTTCCAATGATACCAAATTTAACCATAAAAACCCATTTTATAACATAGATACACTGGCCACAAAATTTTGCTTATTCTCTTAATAATATAGATTATTTGCGATCAACATATTTCTATTAAATAGTTGTTTATAAAAATTTCTTACATATTTTTTACAATCGAAATTATTTTTAATATCTTATTAAAATTCTAAGTCTTAAAAAATTTTAAGCTAGAAGACTTAATTAAGAAAGATTAATAAAAAAAAAATATAAATAAAGCATACAGGAGTCAAATGTTAATTTTAGTTATGTTTTTTATTTGGTTTATATATGGATATATTCATACATATATGTAGTTTTCCATTTTAAATGACATCAAAGATATAATCATTCCTTTAGCAGTTTTGTTGGCTGGTTTCAGAAAAGTCGAGGTATGGGAAACCATTTCTTCTCAAGGCATTTTGAGCAATGTTCCTTACCGAAAATCTTGGATATTGCTCACGTGTCTTGACCCAAAATGCGGGAACACTACAAAAGTTATTTGCCAGGCATTAAAAATTAGCATAAAAAAATCCTGATAGATTTTATATTATTTTTTGGCTATAAGAACTTACGAGCTAGTTCCATCGCTGACGCATCCATAATAGATGACGTAGCTCCTATAATCTGTATCAAGAACGGTGTGCTTGACAGTAAAGTTTTCGATAATTGGTGGTATGACGGTCATGTTGTAATTATTACGATTAAATGAAAGATCAGTGAGAACTTCTGAGTAACGGCCGAGTCTGAACCATAAAATTTATGTTAGAAAAATTTGTCATCAAATAAGAAATGAAATAATAGATTATAGAAAGCAATGTTCATACATTGGTGAATAGGCAGACAAAACAACTTGTACTTTATTTCCATTAGGCCGCATCCAATAATCCCGTTTGCAAGTTTCAGTATCATGTTGAAGACCAGTGTTGCTGCTAATCAATTGTAAAAACCATCTGCCAGACATCTAAAGAAACAAATAATTCTTATAGGACTAAAATTGATTTCCAACAAACTATTTTTAATGCAACTTATGAATTTTAATAAATCAATTAATTTAAAACGATAAACTTACTTGGTTTAAGTTGACGTTGAAGGAACGGACTTTCGGACAAGCACCATCTTGAGAGGGTTCATATTGAGTGACTCCATACGGAGTTTGAACTTCAGCCGAAGCTCCGAGCCCAGCAATGGCACAAAAAGCGATCAAATAGTACAACATTCTGTACAGGATTATTTTTTAGCGTCTTCTGAATAAGATACTCGTGTCAGATGATGTATTAACTGCTCGTCGGAGCCTTTTTATATTCAGTTTCTTTGAGTTATTGACTATAACATTTAGATCAGCAATATATATATTTGAGGTGTTTATTCATGTATTCATTAATGTCCGATTGTTGTTAAAAAAATATTGTAGTAATCAGCCAGACTCTTGTTTCTAAATTTAAACTTGGATCAATATTGTAATCTGTAACGATTGCAAAAAAATCAAATTTTTTCATAAGAATTCATAATATAAAAAAAATCAGAATTATAATTTGTGATTATTATAAGGTAAATATTTTACAACTTGATAAATTATCATCGATCTGTTGAATTTATTTTTTATGTTTTTTTTGCTTATCAAAATGTTTTCAGTTCAACAACTTGCTCTCGTATTACATAATATTTTATAGAAATTGTTTATATAAAAATGGGGATTTTTCTTTGTTGAAATTAGAATACTTCCCACAAAAACATAAGGAAAATATCTATATAAAACATGGGTTAATACCTATATTAACATATAAATAATTCTTAAGATATATAAGAATTATTTTCACGAAAAACTGATCAATAAAATACTTCATATGTATTTTTGTTAGATTTAATTGAGTTTCGTTCTTTTTCACAATCTACTTTAATTTTTAGAATAATTTTAAAAATCATATTCTTATATTAAGCTTATTGTCAATATATATGATATGTACAGATAGGACATCTAGTCGACGGAAAAATTCGCGTTAAAGATTCTATAAAAACATATAAAAGCCGTATAAAAATAATTCAAATCTTGAAAAATTTATCTTTGAGTTCTTATTTTTTGAATATATTTGAAAGGTTAAAAACATACATGAAAAAAATTCGCAAAAAAATTCATGTTAAAATATATTAAATATATATTTAAATTCATGTGAAAAATATTGGTACGATGATATATTTTTTATATGTTGCACGACTCATGATGCGAAGCATCAGAGAGTGTTTTACGATCGAAAAAATTTTTTTCGCCTCATTTCGGCAACTATTTTTATTATTATAGTCTTGTTAAGTGTAAAGTGAAAGCAGAGGATCTCAACAATGAAGATCTCATAGAAATGAAACAGAATTTAAGAGCAAGAGGAGTTAATATAATTATAATTATATTATAATTAGTCTTTTTTTTGGCTTTTCTCTGACCCGTGAATGTTGGAACGCTTCACGTAATAATTATCCGTAACTCCTATTCTTTCCCGATTCACAGCATTATTTATATTTGTTAAAAAAATGTGGAACGCTTCACGATTTTGCGTGAAGCGCAAATTGGGCTTACCCTGGAAGTCTGTATAGAGAGGCTCAAATTTAATGGGCCCTTTCACCTTCTATGGGTAGTTTTCACTATCGAAATACCGTATCTCGTGTGTCACGGAGAA